CCGTTATAAAGACAGAGGAGCGACATTTCACCGACAACCGTAAACAGGCTTGTCTGTTTGAGCAACTGGCTCAGTGTAGAGAAGTAGACAGGGTTGGGAGAGAGTGTAAGAGAGAGAGAGGTTCAAGGTTGTTGGGTTGAGAATATTCAGGAGAATATTTGTCATTGTTCCATGATAATAAACAAACATTTGCATAAAGCATATTTGTCTACTCGTATGTTGATAAGAGTATTTCAAACTTGAAAAATATTCCTCAAAGGTACATTTAGAACAGATATAAAATGTGCGATTAATTTGCAATTAACTACGGACATCATGTGATTAAATCGCAATTAAATATTTTAATCGACTGACAGCCCGAGAGAGAGAGCGAGAGAGCTCTATTTTCCAGCCTGAGTCTATTTAATTTATTATTTTGGTTTTGTGTGATTTAATTCATTTTTTATAATTTAATTTATTTGTTTATTTCAATTATTATATATATTTAATATATTTGAATATTATTTCACATTTCATTTGCAATGTTGAATGTTCAATAAGAAAGTTCTGTTTGAAAGGATGTACTTGAATTATTATTATTATATATGATCATTATGTCGGTGGTCTAAAACGGTGTCGACAATATTATCGTTTATTGCAATAATTTCCGGGAAAATTTATCGTCCAACAAAATGAATTATCGTGACAGGCCTAGCTGCAAGCATGAGCAAGTAAGTATATACTTAAACTCGATGAATGCTCAACTAAAAAGAGAAAAATATGTGCTGCTTAGAATCAGATACATTTTTCTTCTGATCACTTGGAGGGCAATTTTTGCAGTCCATCCTCTGACACAGCTGTTAGAGCCTGAACGGAATACTATACAACACAGGCTCAAAAACTAACCTACGGTATTATAGAAAGAAATGGATTAAAATACAATTATTATGAAACCCCAATAAGTGGTAAACAGCCAATGAAGGTCTGAGAGAAATGTCCCAGAAGCCCCAGAAGAACTTCTACATGACAGACTTCAGCAAACCTTCCTCCTAATAAAAGGTTACCTGCCAAACTTAAAGAGATTCCCCAGAGCTAAAATCTGTGATCTACCAGTCACCTTGTATCCCAAACAACTGTCCAAGGCAGTGATCCGTGGCTAATCCTCACTGCCCCTGCCTGCTGGGTTGATCCAGCCTGTTTGTGTCAACAGTCTTTAGGGATGCTGCTGATGATGCTTTCTCTCTGAAGAACACAGATAGCGCTTCACAGAACACAGCTAAAGGACCAGCTTATGGCTTCAAACGTACTACATGAATCATGCTTAGTTACAGAGGTACCTGTCAGCACAGTGGATCCTGGTAAGCATTCCTGTGAAGGTCACGTAAGTCAAACAACCTGTGTGTGAACTGAGGCACACACACATTCACTCACCCATGTGCTCAAGATTACACACATTCTTAAACAGCAAGCGAACATTAAATCAATACAGAATGTTTTTGTAAAGATGAGTACACACTAAAGGGGTGTTGGGGTTGAGAGAAATGTGACGCAATGCATAGAGACTTGGCTTCTTATTGATGATATTTTGGGGGTTTGAATATATTATGTTTTTTTATAATAATACATACATTCTCCATGCTAAAAATGGCTATAGTAAGCTATTTGGGTTAATTGTGAAGTTTGTTACTGACATTATTCCAACAAAAAAAAACTTCAATCCTATTTTAGTCATCCAAAAACTGGGCCCGTGTCTCGAAAAAGACACAGTGACTAAAACTGGATAACCCACCCACACAGCTTCATTCAGTCCCTGGTGGCATAACGGAAAGCTGGCTGGCAACAATACACACATCCTTCAGTCAAGATATCACTGGTATGTCTGAGGAGAGGTGAAAGCGGAGCGTGATGAAGTCAAGATAGTTGAGAGAGCCGATGACACACTGTAGATCAATGACAGCACACATGTCTACACCCCGAAACCTCTTTCTGAACTCTGAACTGTGGAAAAAAAACCTCTTCTTAAGTCGGGCAGTGCTGCTGGACACATGCACTCACACCAGCAGGTAGAATGACCCAGACTCAGTGCTCTAAGGACATTGCATAATCAATGTCCATGACTCATGTTTACTTATAGCCCTACTTAACCTGTATGTGCAATTGAAGTACTGTAAAAATATGCAATTTAACACATACTTTATTTATTCTTAACCATATTTGTCACTGTTTTTAAACACTGAAGAAGCACAAGAACATGCATTTATTAACACTTCCACACAGGCAGTTCTTCCCTACTTTATTGACTGTCTGTTCATTAAAACAATGCTTGTAACAAGAAACACAAACTCCTACAACTATCTCCTAGCCATAAGCATATTGGCCTGTATTAGCATACTATCTACATTGAAGGTTCTCAACAACAAGCATGCAGGGTTCTGCATGTAAAAATAAATGTGTTTTGTAAGAAACTGTTTGAGTTGTGTGTGTGTGTGACCAGATGTGACTTTTGTGCATCATCTTTGGTTACGGTTTACAATATCAGTTTTCACTTGTTGCTAGACATTGCCAGGGGGTTAAATTACGCAACAGTTTGCGCTGGCTGAAGAAAGACATAAGTACAGGTGAGTCTTACTGCTCTGCTCTCACAGAGACACCACACTGAGTCACAGAAGCTGACACAGACAGGTATGTCCCAATGATTAGGTCAGCATGGGAACATTCAATGTCCCTCTGCCACACCTTACCATAAACAGTGAGGTCATTTGTTTGAAACAATTCCATTAAATAGTTTCAATTTGTATAGTGTTTACAATACATGAATTCCTGTTTCTTTACAAAACACAACAGTACAATGCTGGGTCTTTCTTCATTTAGTGTTTCCAATGTTAAAAAAAAGTACACTTGAGTTAGTTGTTGACGTGTTGCAATTTGACAGAATTGACTTACAGTTTATTGCACAGTTTCTGTTTTCATAGTTGGAGAGTAAGCTTCTACTTCCTCATATGTTGTCATTTACTTTGACCTGAATCATGATTCCTACAGGGTAACATGTTAAGCTCTATTGACAGCTGGTGCACAGCTCTTGGTTTGAAGGTAATTACAGGTATAGTGGCAGTTCGTTGCTTTGTAGCTTAACTTTGAAACATGAGAGGAAGAATATGTAACCCTCTATGGAGTAAGAGGCACAACTTTTGAACCCATTTACAGACCATTAAAAGTGCAACAAGTTGAACCTGATACTCACAAATTTCTTTTTCCCATCTCCATCCTCGTAGCTCTTCTTTGCTTTCTTGTCCTTCTTGGGACCAGCCGCTGAAGCAGAGTTCCCCGTGTTTGGATCCATACTGATAATTGAATCAGTTTCCTTGAGTTGGGAGACAGAATAAACCCTTGTGGCGGTAATCTCCCCGAACTCAATCGTAAAAAAAATAGCAAACGTATCCTCAGAAGTTGTTTCAAAACTTTTTTTAAAAGCCAACTGTTGATTCCCTTGGGCCTAAGCTAGTGCCTGGCTAACTTAGCCACAATTAGCACAATGCTGCTAATGATTTGGTAGAGAGCCAACTACACCAAACGAGCCCCTCGCTAAGCCGCCTCTCTGTATCACTGAAGGAGGGAAATTCAAAGCACAGCCCAAGCCCTCGGAAGGAAAAGTACGAAAACTTCCTGTTGCGTTAATAAAATACAAAAAACGACTTATAGTATCCACGTGTGACACGAACCGATACGTTAAACAAAGTGAACTTTGAGTCTCGAAAGTATGCGGTAATAAGTGAGCTAACTGTTAGCTTCAGCTACGCTAGCTCTTCTGACAACAGTAGGTAAAGCCCCGTGGAAAGAAAAAAGACTCCGCTCTTCCCACTTCCACCAGTTGTTTCAGCGACTACAACACGGGTGACGAGATGGTATTACGGATGAATTGGCCCGACTTGTTTTCTAAATTAGTTTCCATGACTGCTACAAGTTTATTTAACTTTTAACCCCTAAATGACAGGGGGAAGCGAGCGACTACGGCTTTAGCGGCAGAGGAGTCTTCCTGTTCTTCTGACAGTGGGTCAGAGCTGCTGGGAGGAGCCTGTGCGCTGCAGCTACACCTGAGAGGATTTAGCTGACAGTTCTGCCTGCCCTGCACATAGCTGTGGCTCCAGCCGTACTGACATCATTACAAATCCATGAAAGAGTTACCGGGGCGGGATCCCTGGTATAATGAAGACAAGTCTCAATACTTGCTGTCCTGCTACAACAGAGGATGTTAAAGCCCCCCACAGACCGCAGGAAAGCAGTTGCTCTGCACATCTTACGTTGCAAGCTGAAAAATCATCTATTAAGAACTGCATGTAGGCCCAAAAAAACTCTGGTTCGTGACCTCATCACACAAAATGTGTAATTATCTGAATATATTATAGTTATTATGATTATTATTACTTGTATTGTAATTATAGAGTCATTAAATCTATATTAAGGCCTACTAACATTTACCATTTTGTGTGTGTGTTAATTATTTTGGGTAGAGGTTCACATACCGATTGGACCAAGAACATAATGGTGTGGACTGGTAGCTGGAGAGGTGCCAGTTCACCTCCTGGGCCCTGCCGAGGTGCTCTTGAGCAAGGCACCAATTCCCCAACTGCTCTGGGCGCCAGCTAACTGGCCGTCTCTTCACTCTGCCATGCACCTCTCCTATCCTGCATGTGGTTCTGTTTGTGCATGTATAAGACATTTTTTATAAAACAGTCTTCTTTTTCTTCTATTTACATCCTTTGTGAATGCATGTGGGTGTATGTTGTTACCCACATGAATATGATCCGTTTAGTTTCCCTCCTGACTTCCCCTTTCCTTTACTCTCCGGCCTGCCTCAGTCCGTGTCCATCTTTTAATGAATGTTTTGAGTGTTTATGGCTTCTGGTGCAAGTTTCATGCTCTATCACAGGGCTACTGGACCAGAAACCCTCCCAACCCTCAGACAAGTGCCCACTTACCAGGGGCGCCCTCTCCTTTCCCTCACTGACCCTGAACACAACCTCCCCAAAAGGATGCACATATGCAGAAGGAAAGAAGGAAACAGCTGAGGCGCATCTTTTCTGCTGTTTGTTTACCTTCCTGAAGATCACACTTTTGATACCCAAGTGGTCTTTATCAAAAGTGTGCTCTGTTGATATCACATAAAAATGTTTTGTTTTATCCTATACTGCAAAAATAATTTCCCGGATTGATTTTGTGGATTATGGTATGCTCAATGTTTCACTTTATTTAATTAATTTAACTTGCATATTAAATGATGGCTCTTTAAGTGAGAGTTTCAGTTGATTGCAGCTCCTGCTCATTTTGAGTCTTTGTCATCTTTACTGTGATAGAAAGTAAATGGCCCTCCTTTAATTCCTCCCTGTGATGAGGAGCAGCATTTGGTTTTCTGGAGAGATAATCAAGTGACTAATTGCAGAGTGTCTGATGTTTTGCCAATGGGGGCGTTTGATGCGCTGGCAGGGAGAAATCCCATTTTGTCCAATGATTTTTTCACTGGGGTTAAAGAGAGAGGTGGTTTGAAGAAAATCAACATAATTACAGATAATGAGAGGAAAGATATTTGGGTATCACATTTTTGCTTGTGTGTGTCTGTGTTTGTATTTGTGTAGATGATGTAACAATGTTCTTTGTCACGATTTCCATGTCATGTTATTTCAAATATAAAATCAACGAAGAACAACAAAAAGCCCATACGCTTAATTCCAAAGTCAAAAGAGCAGTGTAGTATACAACCCACCACAAGCAGGCAGTACAAGCCAGTACAGTTATCAAGCCACCAACTTATATATATATAGATACTGACTGACGTTTCTGGAGATAGTTTTAGTGCAGAACTAAATCAGTTCAAATGAGAACCAGTTTCCAATTTGACAATATACTTCCTTCCCTGTTGTTTTATTAAAAACAGTAGAATCAAAGCTTTTGAAATGAGAATGTATTGCCTAAAGACCTATAGCTAAAGACCACTCTATTGTGATCTCCTTTACAGCCAGGGCTGCCCCTCCATATACGCAGAACATGTGCAGTGCCTCATGACAAAATGTTGCGTTTAGGGCCCCAATTTGGACAGCACTGTCTACAGCCCTTGCTATTATTTCTGTACTAACCTTTCCACATTAGACAAATCCTCTATCTGTACATTTCTATGACTTTTACTATTGAGTTTTGATGTCAAATTGACCAGAAAACCTCCATTCGGGCTTCTTACAGTATGTTGCATATTGTTATTACACAAACAAGTAATCATATCTCACGTATGTGGAAGGGGATTTGGTGCATATGGCTAAGCTATATCTTCCTTTGTCAAGTGTTGTATTGATCACTGACCACTTTGTTGGGTACACCTTGTGTAATGCAATACAAAAGCTGTGCCATAAATTCTACTTTCAGAAGCATATTTTGTTTACTTGAAAATGTTAAAAACCTCTCTGACAGTGTCAAGCAAAACTGATTTGTTTATTTTTAAAACAGAGATGTTCCATTGGATCCATGTACAAGACGTACCCAATGAAGTGGAATATGTATAAAATATAGTTAATCATGACGAGTCACATTACCTTCCTTATTTAACTAATAAGACCAGGGGTGCTGCTTCATTTCCTTGTCTTTATTGTGTAGTTGTTTTTTCTTATCTTTTAAATGTGCAGTTTTAACATGCATGGCTCGTGAACTTTTTTATTTTATATTGTGATCATACGTTTCCAAAAAATAACCTGGTTTGGGGCGCCACCCAGTGGTGGCAGCCGCCGCAGTGTCACCAGAGTTTAAACAGCTTGTCCAGCGAAGTTAATGTAGCCTACTAGGAATCAACTGTGATGATTTTTGATCCCTAGGATGATTTAGGATGATTTGTCAGCATTCGCAGATGTAATTTGCACTGAGTGGCGGTTATAGTTATGGAAAAGAACATTAGAATAAAGAAGACAATGACAGCAAATGATTGAATTGAGAAGGCACACATTGTCCTGAACATGCTGAGTGAAGCAACCCAATTCTTTGCGGAATGCCTTTCAAAAACAGCGTGTAGTTGGTCTGTCATTATACACTCAAAACTGCAGGCAGTGTTGGCCTTCTCTCCTCTGCTTGCAACGCGTTATTTTCTGTGTTTCTAAGATTAAGTAAATATTGTGAATACGCACCACAGACAACAATAATCACTGAGGTGTGTTTCTCTTACTTACAGACATCGGCTATACACACAAATGCGACCACACACACAGGCACCGGATTAGATAGATAGGCTCATCTATCTATGTGAGACATGTTTTCCAGCAACAAGATTGAAGAGGATTTGCGCATCACCGTTGGCACTGAAACCGACAACAGTTTGGTTTATCGCCAAATATCGTCATCAATTTCAGCCTCAGTTATTAGTTCTCCGGGTTATTGGTGGTATAAATTGCTGGCTAGAGGTTAATTAAAGTGAAAGTGCACAGTAAGGTTAGCAGCCCTATGGCACTCGTGGAAAGGCCTTTCGGAATGAATTAAAGGACAATGTCTTTCACATAATCATCAGCATCATCTTCAGCATCGCCATTTATAAGCAGGTGGAGAGACGGAGAGACTGCCACTTGAAAGTGCATTTGAATATATTTATGGAACGATATGGGGCTATACTTTGTCCTTTAATCAGCATTTTACAATGGAAGGAGGGACATTTTGTGTTGATTTCTGAATTTTACAAGACAAGACAGTTAAGTTACAGTCATACAAAATATTATACAATCTGCTGTAGACCCTTTCTGTTACCATATTTCCATGGAAAAAATAGACACATTTTGTCGGGCCTGTTTGAAATACTGTGATTTACCTGCAGATTGCAGACACCAGGTCGAATTTGTAGGCTGCCATATGAATAAATATAAGCTTGAGAGTGTACTATAAAGGAATACGTAATGTGTTTCCAAAGTGCAGTGGTGGCATCACGAGGGGGGTTGCAGAGGATGATGGATTGTTTCACATTTTATTAAGTCATTACCAGAACATATATGAGTCACTAATTGATTTAGGAGTCATAGTGGTATCCTTCCACCTGAAGTAAGCCCAAGCCCCATTAATCTTCTGAAATGGCACCCATTGCCTGAAGCTTTCAGGCAATGGGTGCTTCAGGCTGAAGGGCATTTTCTGGTTGGTGCTTTGCCTTAAAGTGAAAAATGTGGGCAAACTTTAATTATGGCCCTGATTTAGGCTTTCCAATGTATTCAACACAACTACTAAAGGCAACCATTTTGTTAGTCCATGTTAGTCCTTAAACCCCAACAACAGCCTCAGAGTCCCAGGGATTTGTCCCGGGGGTCTAGCTTACTTGTAGGAGGTCCGGGCCTCTCTCAGTGACCTGTCATATGGCATGGAAGCGAAGAAAGAGTTCCGCAGCTGGCAGTTGATGAAGAACACAATGAGCAACACCAACAGGAAGAGCAGCAGGCACATGACTATGTATGTAATCAGGTCCGGTTTGTGGAGCTCGCCCTCCCGGAGTCCTCCTCGCCCAGTGGTGGGTCTCAGGAGAGCGGCCACGCCCACAGACCCCCCATGGGAGGCGTTCAGGGAGGAAGGGGCGTGCGTAGAGGACTGGGCCATGAGGACCAAGTCGAAGTCCGGGGTGTGGGTCGAGTTGAGGAGGATCTGCCTTAGCATTGCGCCCCGTGTGCTCACCGGCTGGAGGGTTAAAAAGACACGGAGAAGGTTATGAAGCTCACTGACCCCGTGTGGGTTCAGCCTGGGTGTCCTGTCTCTGATGATGCACCGACAAAGAAGAATCCGTAGCAATTCCTGTGAGACAAATTTGGGAACAGCCTTTTAAGAATATAAAAACGAATTCCATTGCAAGCAAAATGTCTTACAAGGTCACTGATAAACATCAAGTGACACATAGTAGCCTACTACATGTACAAATCAGGTTATAGCGATACCTTAAGTTATAATGAAAGCAACATTGAGTAGACAGGAGTCAGGGTTACGTGCAATCTGTTGCCTACATTTCTCGAAATACCATAGAAGCTAGTTGGAGAATTACTTACTTACTGGTTTGTGCTGCGAAGAGTTCCGCGGGTGAGCTGGAAAAGACACAATCCCGGCTCCGCATTCCTCAGTGTGCCCAGCTCTGTCCGCTCCTGCTCCAGAGCATGCGCCGTGGAAAAACGGCAGGTTGATCTCTTCAAATGTCCATATGTCGATGAGGTGGTATATTAATGCAGCGTTCCCCAACATTAATTAATCCAATCCACGTGTCAGCACAGACCAGCGTCCCAGTGAAAGAGCACTCTACCAATTTCACTTGTTGCTGTTTAAATCCAAAACCTCCTGCCATGCATATGGTCAAGCACAGACTGCAATATACTACACTAGTGATATCGAAATGAATCTAGGCTCTGTCAGAGAGGGTGAAGTTCAACGTTGCTCTCTGGTGCGCATACATGTCCTCTTGCGCGTCTTGGTGCGCATCGACAAGTTCTCCTTTGACTGTGCTGAGCGCAGAGGAAGGACAAGCCGGATCCTCCGTTTCCCAACCCGTCCCCTTCTCTTTTATCCAGTAAAAGGGTCGATACGTGTCGGATAGAGGCTGCTGTGGGTCTGCCCTTACGGGAATATCGATTCAGTATGATTAAAATGAGACGAGAGAAGGGATTAACGATGGACCAAACACAGCAGCAAGCTGGGTCGTGAATAGCTTCCCATCTTCGCCCTGGGTCTTCTAATGTCTGACAAAGCGAAGGAAACAAGGCGAGAGTGAGAGGGGGAAAGGGAGGGAGAAGGAGGAAGGGAGGGAGCTAGATTCACGTCAAGACAGGGATGTGTGTTACTTTTAAGAGTCACAAAACAAATTATAATCAATCTCTATCTATCTATCTATCTATCTATCCATTCCTCATATTATTACATCAAAGAGATGAGAGAAATTTGAGTCCGTCCATTTATTCTGGGTCATTGTGGGGAATGTCTCACACTGGGGCGATGGGAGAACAGGAAAGGGTGTGATATTGGTGAGTGTGTGTAAGAACTCATAGAGGGTGATTACATTTGAGAAAAGGTCGACCAGGTACTCTTTGTCTGAGTCTTGGAGCTTGACTCATTTGCAGTCCTTTTTATTGAAGAAAGACTTAGCAAGCCTACAAAACAGCTCTGCATCTTTGTCTCTCATGGCCTCGTCTGACTGTTTAGAACGTACATGTTGCTCTCTGTGAAACAGATTTGACATTGGTGCTTGGTGACATTGTAAAAAGGTGCTAGACTGGAGATTGGGAGCCAGGCTGCTCTTACGTGATGCCTCAGACATGAGTATGCATACAAAGGGCCAGACTCTAAAAGCTCTGCTGAACTGTTTCATATTCATCTGCACCTGTTTTGTCACAATGGAACGGCTGGCGGGCATAGAGAGCAAGGAAGGAGATGTTCACACACACACACACACACACACACACACACACACACACACACACACACACACACACACACACACACACACACACACACACACACANAGGGTACTTGGTTTAGTTAGGGTTAGGGTTGTTGGTTTGGTGTTAGGGTTGTTGGTTTGGTATGAAGGTACTTGGTTTAGTTAGGGTGAGGGTTGTTGGTTTAGTTAGGGTTGTTGGTTTGGTGTTAGGGTACTTGGTTTAGTTAGGGTTGGGGTTGTTGGTTTGGTATGAGGGTACTTGGTTTAGTTAGGGTTAGGGTTGTTGGTTTGGTTAGGGTTGTTGGTTTGGTGTTAGGGTACTTGGTTTAGTTAGGGTTGGGGTTGTTGGTTTAGTTAGGGTTGCTGGTTAGGGTTGTTGGTTTGGTGTTAGGGTACTTGGTTTAGTTAGGGTTGCTGGTTAGGGTTGCTGGTTAGGGTTGTTGGTTTGGTGTTAGGGTACTTGGTTTAGTTAGGGTTGCTGGTTAGGGTTGCTGGTTAGGGTTGTTGGTTTTGGTGTTGGTGCCGGACTGACCTGTGCACGGCCGAGCCTCCAGCTCCTGCTCCGGGCACTGCAGCAGGTTCTCTGGATCCTGAGCCACCACGGCTCGGGACCGGACCTGCACCGAGCCGAAACCCAGGTCATCCCCCCCCACACAGCTCAGCTGACACGGGCTCCACCTGTTCCAGTCCGTCAGGTAGCATTCACCTGCAGAACAGAGAGGTCAGTACTGAAAACACACCATGACTGTGCTGCTGTTAAGAAATATAACATTGTTTAAGCTAAAATCACAAGGGACATGAGTGTGTAACAACAACAGCAGATCGTCAGGCAACGCACAGAAGTAAAAACTAACATGTAATTCGTCACTTTCTAAACTGTAAAGAACATCCACTGAGAAGATGTGGTTAAAGCATGGAGATAATCTTGAAGCTAATCCTTCAAATTTATTTATTTTTGTCAGATTGCCACAGAATTTCCTGCAGATGATATTAAAACAAAAAAGGAAGAAATATCATGTGTTGATAGACTTCATGAAATATAACATTGTTTTTGCTCAAAACAGATAGAAATATATGCTTTATGGATTCCAAATAGGGAATTGAGTAGGTAACAACAACAGCAGCTGATCAGGCACAGAGGTAAAAACTAAACAGTAAACATGAAGGTTCATTCTTCACTTTCTAATCAGTCATTTTGAAAAGAACATCTGGTTGAAAGCATGGAAAATAATCTTGTAGGTAAACTTTATTTTTTTAGTCAGATGTCTACTCTTGTTTCAGCCACAGAGTTTCCTGCAGAGGATTGCTATTCAAAACAGAAAGGAATAACACATGTTGACCCTAGAATGTATGTTATGAACAGAAATGTTAAGTAACATTGACTGTATATAAACAGCGATTAAAAATTAATCCAAGTAGAGGAGATTGGATTGATGAATTCACATAAGGCTAAATGCACCATGAGGACAGCTTGAGTTTGCTTTCATAACTAATCTAACAGGATGGCTTACTAAAATATACAGGATGTGCTTATACAACAGTGGTATTAGAGAAAAGCTTCTGATTGTCAGGCTTTACAACGATACCATTTCACAGCATTTCAACTGGTGAGCCTTCAATCAGCACATCAGCCAATCAGGGCCAAGGACAGTTAGATTGATTGAGGACTCGTAGATTGGAAAACTGAGTAATGTCAATCCGATTATCAAAGACATGATGTCCACTCAGGTAAATCCATCCACCTCCTGGATAGAGGTCAATGAAACCCAAATCAAAACCCCTTCATCAGAGATGTTCCAACCAAAGCCCTGATTCCTTTCTTATGATCACGTTCTCCTGAGACCAAAGAGACAAATCCCTGTGATCTAAAGTCAGGGCTGAAGAGAGCAGTTAGAATAGAGAGTGTAAAAAAACACAGATTTTTCTCACTTCTATTCAAATAGTTTTCTTTTTCCGAACGGACGTCGGCGGATCTGAAGAGTCCTGTTTGACCTTGTGGTCCCCACTAAGCCACTTAACGTGATTATGTGCTGATTACTCCCACACACACACTCCAAGCTGGAGTACTACACACACACACACACACACACACACACACACACACACACACACACACACACACACACACACACACACACACACACACACACACACACACACACACACACACACACACGAACACACACAAACAAACAAACACGTGAATTATGTGAACTTACAGCAAACATTTTTAAAACTATATCCTCAAATTGGATCTATCCTGCATATTACATCAACAGACGAGAACAAGTTTGAGGCAAGTTAGTCTACAAATACCTTGTGGTTTCCTGGTGTCCCACATCCAACTGTATTTAACATTAAAGAGGATAACAGTGGTCACATGAAATCTACATTCAGCCTGAAGCTTATAGTTTACATGGAGGCAGCTATGGTTGTACGGCTAAGGAGATTACTATTTATCATTGCATTTTTGGATGAGGCACTCATTCCCTGCTTTGCTACAGGCTTGCTGCAATTCCCTCATCCCTACCAAATACTGACTTACAAACACACACACACACACACACACACACACACACACACACACACACACACTGTTCTTTTGCCAGCCAGTGAAAGCATTCTACTGAGGCATAATAAGCCCTGACAGCTACACAGACACACACACTCTCACACACTCACTCACACACACTGTCCGCCCACCTGTTGAGAGAAACACTCTGCAGCTCTAGAAGCTCTTAATCAAACACACTTGACGGATAACGCAGCGACGGCCGAGGCTTTGTTGTTATTGTTCAATCTGGAGTAATCTCCATTAGAGGTGCTAGAGGTCGACGGACATAGAGTACTGGTTTATTTCCATGTCGTCCAACCAGTGTAATGTCTAACCAGCAGACAGCATCAACTGGTGAAGCTCTGCAGACCCTGAGCAGATTTAGATTACAGATCTGTCTTTAGGACACAGAGATTATTACTTTAAATTAGTTTAAAATCAATCCAAGTTTCTATCAGATCAGCAGGTAAGATGAGATCATTTTGACTACAACGACCCAAACCCTCCCCCCAGGAGAAACGTGCTGCAGCTTCAGAAAGGAAGCAGATATAAAAACACAAACGTTCCAAATGAAGAAACATCTTCATCAACGTGACAACACATGCAGCGTTTAGAGAACATTCAGCAGCTTGAGGAGACATGCTAAAAGCTGCAGATGTTGGCAGTGTTTCCTGCCGGCATCCTTCAGCCCAGAGCTCCCACAGTGAGTATCCATAGGGAGGAAATAACCTCTCCACCAGCACATCAACACGTCTCATTAAAGACCACGTTAGCCCGACAACACCTCTGCCTCTTCAGGACCCAACACACCGGATAGAGCAATGCATGACCCACGCAGAGCTCAGTGAGTGAACAAGGTGCCGCTAATGGAACAGGTGTCATCGAGAGGTCGCCTCCCCTTTGATCCTAGAGGGATTTGATGAATGAAGATCTCCTCCCGCTCGGACTCTTATTCTCTATTTACCTCTTTGAGATTAGATGAAGTCATTGATCAGAGTCACAGCATTATTGGACACACTATTCATAGTCCTCACCTGGACTAGACATTAAACTAGACAACAAGGAACTAAACCAGTACTCTCTGTTTGCCAACAACAAGGCCTCGGCCGTCGCAGCACTTTGCGTATCTCTCTAATAACTCGAGGCTATCCTTAGAGTGTCAGGGTGGAGATGTGTGTGTGTGTGTGTGTGTGTGTGTGTGTGTGTGTGTGTGTGTGTGTGTGTGTGTGTGTCTGTGTGGGCTGTCCCGAAT